TAGGAATATTTTTTAGATTAGGTATGTAAAATAATATTTTAATGATTTTAAAATAGAAGTATTGAATCGATTTGCATCGTTTCGTAGAGGACAAAGAGAGAAAGGATGAGTATTCTAGGAGAGACGGGTGCGGAAGACAGGTTTGGTTTTCGCGTCTCAGTTCTTGATTCGTCTTATTATACACTGCGTTATAAATTATCCTTTCGTTCACTGATTTTCTTGATCTTCTCGCTGTTATTCTCATTTCGCACATTGGCTTATAACATCGTTTTATATCACTTTTTTTGGAGCTTGTGAGAACGCTAAGTTTAATTTAGTTCATTACAGGTGAAGTAAACCTGTAGATTTAATCTTGCCAGGTCTGTATATAAAGAGGCTAATTTTCTGACCATAGTAGAATTTTTTAAAATCACACAAAATTTCTTTTAATATAATCGGCCAATTAAAGTTTTTATTTACTTCATGGTTATTTTTAAAAACTAATTTAATTTTTACTATAACATCACTGGTAATTTTTAATTTTGCAAAAACTCTTCTTTTTATTTGCCTACCTACTAATTTTGTTAAACAAATTATTATTACTACTTCAATTCACCTACACCATGGTTCGTATATAAAACTGATTGTCCCTCCATGTTTTTAAAAATAATTGTGACTGTAGCAGAATTTTACCGAAACATTGGTAGTTCTATACAAATTCACCGATTAAACCAGAAAAATTTATTGTATTTGAATAATATTTAGACATATAACATTTCATTCAGCAAATTGACAAGTATAAATAAAACTACTTATGACAAGGAATATAGGTATTTACACACCAAAAACAAAAAAAAAATAAACAGAAACTGGAACTAGTCAAACTAATTTTAAAAATAAATGAATAAAAATAAAGCTACAAAAAATGTAGCCCTAGTCGTCATCAGAGAATTCATCGTCGGACTAACTATTGAGGTCAATTATAACTGGCTGTACAGGTGGCAGAAGAACATATTCCTGTTCTTTAGAAACTACATGTGATATACTGTTTTTCCAAATATCACTGTGTTCATCATTAAAAACCAACTATATACGTTCAACAACTTGTTTGCTTAAATTCGGGGATTGATTTATTTTTCATAATTACTTTTAATGTATGCCCATATTAATTCTATGGGATTAAATATGCAATAATAGGGAGGTAGGCGAAGCAGAGTATGATCGTGCGTCTTACAAAGTTCATCTATATAATATTCCTTTTCAAAATTCTGTTTTTCTATAATCTCTAGTAAAACTTGGATTGTCGGATTTTTTTGAGGAACGGCTAAGTTTTTCTCTTTTATAAATTCCAAAATATTACTTTTTTTAGTTCTTCGGTTAGGAATTGTTCTAGTTTGACGCGAATCATAAGAGGCATTGTCCATGACGATAACGGTTTCCTTAGGAATATTAGGTAATAGCTGTTCTTTAAACCATTTTTCAAATAATTACGCCGTCATATCCTTATGATAATCAGCATAGTACTTTTTAATTTGTTTAGCTGATAATAACAAAGCATTAGGGACAAAACTATTTATACTTCCTGCGTGCAAAATAACTATTCTTTTTCCTCTAGAGGAAGGCGTTTGCAAACAACAATTTTTGGAGTCATCAAACCATCATAATTAACGACATCATGACTATCAAACCACGTTTCATCCAGGTATACGATATGTCGATTACTATCACGAAAATTTTTAATTTTGCGCAAATAATCCTGACGAAGCCTAACAATTCGTTGTGATTCCATTATCACTATTTGTTTGTCCAATTTCTTATGTCTAAATCTACAATCTAATAAAATTTGACGCAATGTTTCTAGGGACTTGTTATTATAGTCGGGGTAATCTAATAATTTTCTTTGAATACACTCTAAAGTAGGAACTTGATTTTCTTGATACATTTTATAAATTGTCCTACGTATAAATTGCTTTCCACTTTTATCAATTTTCGCAAGCTTTTGATTAACTCTCTCTTTGTACAAAATGGTCAGTTACATCTCCTTTTAAAATAATAATACGATAAATAGTTGTTCGTTTCAATTTCGTTAGTTCACATATTCTTCTTATTATAAAGTTGTCGGATTTTTTACAATTTTCTCTTTTCAAACATTCAAAAATATTTCAAACAAGTCTCTGTGTTTGAACATGTAAATCTTTATTTTTAAATTCCCAATCACCTTCTTCAGTATTCTCTGAATCACAGTCAATGTTCTCATTATCCTGTGACATTTTACTATTTGCCTCAAACGGTCTCCAAAATGCCATATTAAAACTGTCACAGATAAACTTCCACTCAATATTTCTTTACTTTTAGTTCAATCAGATAAACTGATTTTTGACGCAATTATTAAATTCACTTAAAATTCTAAAATATATATATAAAGATTTTTTTATCTGAAAAATAAGAAACTATCAAAAAACCCAAACACGCGGTACTGAAATTTATTACCTAGCGACTCAATAATATTGTGATGATAACATAGGCAAGATAGTGCGAAAATACAGCTGGTCTACTGCTTTGTCAAATGATAAAGTGTCACTAGTAATACAAGGCTAGACCCGTATTTATTTAGCCCAATACTATGTAGCTTTAGCATTAGCAAAATATATAAACGGAGTACTCTTTGTACGCTAGTTATGTTTTTCACTATTCCAACTGACTTTGGAAATACTATACCTAAACCCGAGAACAACAACTTCAGAGAAGCGACAAAGCCGTTCCCGCAAAAAAATGGAGTGGGTAGTAACCCGACCAACTATCATTTCAATTTCAACGCGCTTGCCACATAGATAACTTGCCGGCTTGCCAGTTTAACTAGTTTATTCGTAATTCTTGCGATTTGCCGAGTCCTTAATGATCATCCAATTACCATCAAAAAAGAGACCAGAATTGGAACTCGTGTACCAGTAACTTCCATAATTCGTCAGACAACAACTTCTGATAATTCCGATGACAAATTCGAGCAAATGGTTGCAGTTGCTGGTCAATCTCTGAATCAATTAGAGAAAAAGTAAATAAAGGAATTTCTTTGACGATATCGTGACATTTTTTAACCAAAAGGATGAAAAACAGGAAGAACTTCTGTTGTAAAACACAAAACTGACACTGGTGACGCCAGGCCGATTCGCCAATCAGTTTGAAGATAACCAAAGGTCAAAAGAGAGGAAGTTGGAAGGATTGTTTAGGAAATCAAGAACCTTCTGCCAGCAAATGGGTCTCTTCGGTAGTCCTGGTCCAGAAAAAGGATACAACTACGAGGTTCTGTGTGGATTACTATCAGTTAAACAATATTACCAAGAAAGACAGTTACCCTTTGTGTCGAATCGACGATATCTTGGACACATTGGCCGGAAGTAAACTATTCTCAAACTTTGACTTGAAGTCTGGATAGTGGCAGGTAAAAATTGGCCCAGTAGATAAAGAAAAAACAGTTTTTACCACCGGATTTAGATTGTGGCAATTCAATGTTGTGCCATTTGGACTATGTAATGCCCCCGCGACACTTGAAAGGCTTTTGAAAAACGTATTGAGAGGTTTATTCTGGAAAACATGTCTAGTGTATTAAGACGACATCATAGTCTTGGGGAAGACCTTTGATGAACCACAACCAACTGATAAACATGAGATAAGAAGTTTTCTTGGGCTATGACGCACTATCGAAGATTCATCATGCAGTTTGCAGATATTGCTAAGCCATTAACATGACTCACAAAAGAAACCAGATAATTTTGCTGTGACAAAGACTGCCAAACTACCTTTGAAACATTAAAGAAGCATTTAACAACACCGCCAATACTAATCTACCCACTACCAGCGGTAGAATTTATTCTGGATACTGATGCCAGTAATGTGGGAATTGGAGAAGTGCTTTCACAGATTCAAGGGGGAAAAGAAAGAGTACTGGGTTATTTTAGTAAAGTGCCCTCAAAACCTTGCTGCGTCACGAGAATAGAATACCTGGCAGTTGTGAAATACGTGAAACACTTCTACCAATATCTATATGGAAGGAAATTCTTATGCAGCCCTTAAATATTTGATGCAGTTCAAAAACCCAGATGAACAAATCGCCAGATGAATTGAACGACTTTAAGATCGAAGAAAGAGCTGGAATAAGCCACAGAAATGCCGATTCTTTTTCTAGAAGACCGTGCTCAGCAAGGTGCTCTTACTGCAACAGAGCAGAATCCAAAGAGACTGGACTACTAAGAACAACTGTAGTCAACGATGAGTGGGCCTCTGCCAAACTTAAGAAATAACAAGAGAACGTTCCCGTTTTAAAGAAGATGCGATAATGGAAAGAGGAAAATCGTCGACCTACTTGGCAAGAAGTATTGAAACTCTCTCCAGTAGTTAAATCATATGGGACTTAGTGGGACTCTTTTATTCTAGAAGAAAGCTTATTAAAGCGAGTACTAGAAAATAATGATGGTTCCGAAAACAAAAGACAGTTGGTCATTCCAAAGACTAGAATACCCGAAGTACTTCGCCAGTTACACGACAGTCCTTCAGGAGAACATCTCGGTGTTAAGAAAACCCTTCAGTTTGTGAAGGCTAGTCGAGACTTGTTCTAATTCCTAATCGAAGAAAGTTACTGTATATTGTGCAACCATGAAGTTAAAGTAAAACAAAAATTGTAATACAGAATATATTAATGACAAATGACTTCATTACACATTTTTTAATATTATCGCCTTCAATATTCTTTCCTTCACCGCTCCATGCTCCATCTGAATTTTCCATTGGCCATATCAATCATTTTTAGAAGCATATTTATGGTCTCGGCTGCCTTTTCTCAAAAATTATTCCTTACAGTGCTGATTTGACCTTAGGTAATAACAAAATGTAACATGATATTAGATCTGGTTATTAGGGTGGATGTTCTAATACAGGGATCTAAATATTTTGTCAAAGGAATCTTGACAGATAATGCAGTGTGTAAACCATCCTGGATATGTTAATAATAAATTACTTATTTTTAGGGAACAGTCGAAAGACAATGTACCGAAAATGGTACCTGGTCGCCAATAGAGGAGCCTATCAACTACACATGCGGAACATTTTTTATTAATTTTACACAAGAAGACCTACCAGAAGTTAGCTTGTACAAAATTTGGTTGCCAATAATGAAAGATATTTCATATTGTGGGTACTCACTATCTATAATATCATTGATTTTATCAATCTCCATACTTGTAAATATAAAGTAAGTTTAAAATTTAGGTTAGATATTGGTATTAACTAAATTGTTTGTAGTGAGTATTTTCTACATAGTTTTCTGCATAACCTTCTGATATGCCAACAAAGGAAATCTGTCAAAGCAGTCACTATAAACTGAATTTGGTGAAATTTTCGAAATTTTGCATTTTTTAAGTATTTTCAAACTTAGGTATTTTTTCAACAGGTTTTGTTTAACAAATGGAAAAAATTCGGTAATAAATAAATAGTTAGGTATATGACATAGTATATAAAATATGTCTAGAATTTTTTGAAGAATCCAAAAATTGAAAAATATACAGGGTGTTGTATTTAAAATAAGAAAATTGGTATTGGCCACTGTTACATGACACATCCTGTATAAAAAATTTTTAATAAAAAAAATGCGCAACTAAAAATAGCAATTGACGTGTCCGAGCGTTTTTCCGAACACGCCCCTATTTATTTATTACCGAATTTATTCCATTTGGCTGTTCCATACAATATATATGAATCCATTTAAGGAGCTAGATATTCTATGACCGGTTTTTTTACAGTTGGGGCATCATCAGGCAGCGGCGAAGAAACTCCTCATACCTATATCTTTAAAACGCACAGTTTCTTTTTAATTTCGCAGTTTGAGTGAAGATGGTGGAACCATGCATTTATATGCATTTCATATAATTGTTTAATATACTGTAAATAGCTCCTTCAGTTTCTATACAAAATTACTAATTATTTCCTAACAGGTCACCTCAATGTTAATTTTGTTTTAGGAGATTACATTGTTCAAGAAACAAACTACATATTAATTTATTTGTGTCCTTTATCTTGAGATCACTTATGTCTATTTTAAAAGATTGTACATTCATAAGAGGTACAGCTTTTGCACATGATACAGTCTATGATATTAATGGTGAACCAAGCTTTCCTTTAGATCTTAACTATGTAAGTAAATTTATCTCAAAATAGTCCTACAAAATAAATTATTTATTTATTGTAACTGATTTAGTAGTAGGAATGTAATGGTATCAGACTACAATGGTAACATGTCATCGAGTTCTCTTAATCAGCGGTTGGAAAACTAATGTTACAAAGAAGACCCCTTATAGACCGGGAGGTAACGACAGAAATTTCCGGGTCATTTTCGCAACTGTAACTGTAACTCTAATGTGAACGTCTTTTGACGCACCCTTACGACAGTGGGGTTGCAGGAGGGTTGCAATTACAGTAAAAAAATTATAAAGAAATCATTTTCGCATGCATGAGACTTGTTGTACACGTTAATTTAAACAAATAAAGTTTAAAAAATATCGTCTTCCACCTGAATGTCATGACAAAGTACGTCTAAATAAGCAAAAAAAATAAAAAAAATTATATTCGCAAAGGTGAAATTAAGTGTGATGCTTATTTTTGTAATAAGAAAGCAAAAAATAATAGTCTTCCATTGATACAATACAAAAAGGTCGTCTTCCAAGCTGATAAAGGTGCGCGTCACATGTGGCACGTGCTAGTTATAAATTCCAAAACGGAACTTTCATTTTTAAAATTTTTATTAAATAAAAATACACTTAAATGAATATTTAATTCAACTGTGGACTAAAGCTTACACTAAAGCTACCTAAAATAACAATGATAATAAGGTTTTACTCCTATTTATAAACTAAAAATAAATATTAAGCAAAGATAATCTAATTATAACAAAAGAGTCTATTATGTTCATAATATATATCTCCTCCCTCCGTAAGTTTTGAAAAATATGGAGTTATTTTTCAAAACATCTTCTGTGTGATTTTCTAATTCAGTTTCTTCGTTTTCTTTCTTCTTTCTTCTATATCTTCTTAAAAGTTGTCTTCTGAATTTAATTAGTATTAAAATAATTATGCAAATAAAAATTACAAAAATTGGTCCAACAGTGCTTAAATAATTAAAATTATTTTGAATTTCTTAATTGACTTTAATTGTTTAGAAAGTTGATTAATTTCATATAAATCATTAAAATCTAATTTAGTTATATTAGAAGTTTGATAAGATTTTGAAGTTTGAATTTTCTTCATGTCGATCTTCGGTAGATTAAATGGCTTTCCTCTGCTCATTTGAATGATGCTGATATATCTTCTTTCATTGGTCCATATTTCACAAGATTTTGGTATCTTGATTAATACAGGTGACCTTGTCTATATACTGACTTTGTCTGGTTACTGTTCATAGAAATAATATAGAAGACCAATATAAATATAACATCCAAGCAGAAATTGAAACCTACTGTGCATAAAAACGCGTCTCTGCGCCTGACATCTCAAAATAGTGTGTCTAGAAGCTTGCGCAGTATGCATGACTTGTCCCTGTAGTGTTGCCAAGTATATTAAACATACCTAACACAAAAGAATTTTAAATTAATTTATTTTTAAATTACATGATTTAATCAGTTTATATCTACGAAATATCGCCCCAAAATAATTTATAAACATTTAAATAATCAACTATAATAGTAGTAATATTTATGTGTAATTACATTCCCAAAAATATATACAAATACGGTATTAATGTACAACAAGCGATTCACCTACAAATTCAATATTGACCTGGCAACACCACTTTAATCCGGTGTTTCAAGGCTCTATGACGGTGCCGTTACAGGACCGTTTGTGATATTTTGGCTTCAATTTGTATTTTATTATTTAATTACACGACATTTTATTTTTAGTTTCGTGTAGTGTTAAGTTAAATCCTAGGTACAATAAAAGACATTTTTACATTGGCTAATGAAAATGTAATCAATGTATTTAGCAGCTGTTATATTTATTACAAGATTTATGTCTAGAAATTCAAACCTACCTAAGAATTATAATTATGTAAATAGAGAGCTGTATATTTATATACAGACTGTCCAGCGACGGGGAGACGTTATCGGTATCTGACAAAATAATGAATGATTTTTTGTTAAAAATAGTAAACACAGCTATGATCTTTCCATCTAAAATATTTTGACAGTTCTGTTATTTCCTTTTTATTTTAAATGAGATGCCACTTCTATTATTCCTGATAGCGATGGAACATGAAATGTTGCTTATTTGGAATATATACCTTTACACAACGCTCATGACGTCAGAGACAGTTTCAGTCGGGTATAATTTAAAATAAAGAATTTTAAAACGAATCGTATTAATTTGTACCTGTTCCTAACATTTATGGCATCACTAGCCGAGTTGGCATCGGGTATATTTTCAAATGTAGAAACTGAAAATTAACCCCATTAAATTGTATACTTTTAAATGCGGGTTTCAAGGCATTTTAAAATATAAACTCGATCTCAACGAACTTAGAAACTTCTGTCACTCGATATTTTAATCGTTACTTCCTCTTCGCTTTTTGGCCGGCACAACAATTATTTACATTTCTTCATTCTTTACCGCGTGCGAACCAGTACGGTTTAAAGAAATTTTAAAAAACCTACTTTAAAAATGAAGATGTTAATGATTTTCTCATGGATCCCATCTTCAAATCCTGACTTAATTTATGTAGTATTATTCATTTTCTAACAAAAAGAGAATCATAGAAACCGGGCAACGTGGTAAAGAATTATCGCTCAACATACATAAAAAAATATTTCAACGAATTGAGAATATCCTCCCATTTTAAAGTATGTTAAAAAAAATTGTTAATAAAGTGCAAAGTAGGGTGATAATATATATTATGAAGAATATAAAATGATAGATAAAGCCAGTGTAGAAAGTATTATAAATAAACTGTGGAAATATCGAGAATCTCGATTTTGAATCGGAAGAAGAGTATTCTATGCAATTTAGAATGAAAAATGATCAAAATGAAACAAATGAACGACATGCTAATGTTATTGACAACTTTCTTCAAACATTTTCTAGTTTTCCGAAAACTAACTCGATAGTTCGAAAATCATTTCCGCCGTTAAAGCGCCTCTTGTTCCGAAAAAGATACACGCCTGTCAACATTCATCGTTCAACAAAAAAAGTATTAGATACAAAACGCTTCGTATTGTAAGGCCAAAATATATTTGGAAATCAAAAAAGTCATATAAACAAAAAAATCATTATAGTGAGATAACTACCAAATTAATGATTTACAAGTTTATTCTTATTATCTATAAAATAGGTTTGCAATGTGCTGATGTGGAATGTTATCATCGACTAAAAACTTTAAATCTTTGTATTAAATTGATCGAAAACAATCCATAAATTGGTTTAGACTATACAGAATGTTTCTAATAAGCAGCGACTAACTTTTATTATGAAAACGAAATACCCTTTTAAAAGGGTTTAAAATTAAAATAAAATATGTACCAAGTACCAAGTAAATGTAGTAGTATTTTTTAATTTTGAATCTTGAGAGATGCAGACATATTTGGATACTTTATATTGAAAATGGTAACATGAAAGGTTTTTTGTCTAATTGTAAGTAACGACTCACAGTCTTGGCTGACAAAATATAAAAAAATATCGAACATAATAGTCCTGGGCGAAACGCACCTGCCCCCTATTTTACACTACTCAAATTAAATTTACTTGTAGCAAATGATACTAAATCAAATAAGATGTCAAATCACAAGCAAAATCTCGTGACTGCAGCACTAATGATTTCTGTAAATTAACCAATTCATTTTTCATGCCATATTTTTCTTTCAAAAACATATTTATCCTACTTGAATTTTTTTCATCGTTTTTTATATAGAAGCATCTCTAAAAATGTATGAATAAAACATGGTTTGAACTATTTGTTCGATCAATAAAAAACTTGCACCGGTCCTGTTCGAGCCAGCACCGTTATACGCATGAGCTCCGACACACTATTTTCTCCTTAGGGTTTCAGTTTTGATATATGGAATCGGCTTTCTATACTATTTCTATGTTACTGTTACATTTTAAAAGAATTTGTTCAGGTTTTGACGGGATTATTAAGACTTCATCGACTGCGATTTATTCGAATACTGATTCTTCTAAATTAACATTTAAAATCTGACAATTTGTTAAAGTTTTTCCTTCAAGAAGTTGTAGAGTGCAATTATCTCTGGGGATGAACTTCTGTTGACAATAATAGATTTCTTTAAGGGATGGACATTCTTCTCGTTCAAAGTGTGTATCTTGATGTTTTCGTGCGAAATAGGGAAATAAAGATGTATACATTTTTTGGTTGTGGATAATTGGGAATAAATGATTAAATTCAAAGGTATTACTTTCAAAAGCAAAAATTAACTTAGGTTCTGAAATTGATACTTGCATTCTTTAGAACTGATAATACCTTAATAAATTTATAAATTTCTGAATTTGATCAACATTATATATTTTATCATATCTTTTATGTCTGAGCTGGAAACTATAGAATTATGTAAAGTATTTAATTTTGCAAACGTTATGGCATTTTCTAAATTATCTATAAAAGAAATTGCCATTTGATAATCTAAATCAATTTGTGATATAATGGCCTGAAAACTAATATAACTTCCAAGAGTATCGATTCTATTATAAATAGCGGCTTGAATTTTTTACATATCAACTTTAAATTTTTCTTGATTTTTACCTAAGATTGTGATTGATTTATTACAATGATCAACAAGCCTTTTGTACAACGAAATTTGAGGATTTGTTTCACTGATATTTTTTTGATTTACTTGCAATGTTTTGATAGCATTATTATATCTTTCTTCATCATCAGAATCAAGATTTCCCAATAGCCATTTATTAATTTTGCCAATTGCATTTATTAGAGCTCTTTTAGGTCTTACATAGGGAATTAAATTATTAATCTTTTTCTGAAGAGTAATTATTAGTTACCTATTATGTTCTTCTTAAGGTGATTACAGCACCCTCTTATAATTTTCGGACAAGGATATCTCAAAATGTAATTTTTTTAAAGAACTAAAATTTTAGCAAAATATATTAGGCAATAATATCTAAAATATGCATATATTTTAA